AGGAGGGGGAAGGGAGAATGAAAGGCTCATCGCGACCTTTCCCCCCGGGACCGTCCGTGACTATGGCCTTGTTTTCGAATCCTTAAAAACCGCTGCGGATAATTTCAAGGGTAAATCGGTTAGCCGAGCCAGAACCATCGTCCATATGCTTAAAATCCGCGGATAAAGCAACCATTAACGTACTGCTAGTTATCGACGAAATGCTACAACTGGGCACTAGTGAGCCACAAAAATATGAAGAAATCTTGAGATTTAGAAAGACACAAATGAAAAACCTTTTTAGAGAAACTAGGAGTGCCAGAAAATGGTATCAAAATCAAAAGTTTAATTTTCACCTTTTTCATCTTTTTCAGCAGCAAAATGCTTCCAAGATCGTTTCACGGGCACTTTTTTCTCCACTGCGAAACGATTCTTTTCCTCATCTGCAAAATGTTTCGGAAAAACTAAGACAGGCTTTATTATTCGCGAGCGTGATCTTTTCCAGCTGAAGGCAGCAAAACGGACGACTACTGTTAGAATACCAAGATCACTCGGAACATCAGTGTGGAATTCCCCTGTTAGTGATATTACTAGAACGAAGAGTGCGAGAAAAGGTGCGAAGATGCTTTTCTTGCATAATTCCCCGCAGATTTTTGTCGCTAATGGCACTGTTTTTCCGGCAGATGTTTCTAGTTAAAAGCATTTCAGACTGGCCTCCAGGACTGTCAGGAAACATCCTTTCAAAATTTCAGTCTTCTAGCTTCTCAGGTTCCCGAGCTATGAACTTACCCGAAAAGAAATTTCACGGGCCCGTACGTGGGTATCACGCAAACCCGAGGGCTGGGTTTGAGCTCAATAAGACTTAGGTGGACGGGAAAAATCCTCTTAAAATTACAGTCTTCTAGCTTTTCAGACTCTCGAGCTAGGGAGTTACTCGAAAAAAATTTTGGCGGGCCCGTACATAAGTACCACGCCTACCCGGGGGTGGGGTTTGAGCTCATTAACACCCACTTGGACGGGGAACATCCTCTTAAAATTTCAGCGTTCTAGTTTTTCTGGTTCTCGAGTTAGCGACTTATCCAAAAAACTTTGGCGGGCCCGTGCGCGGGTACTACACGTATAAGATTCCCCATTTTGGGGATTGGGGCCGTACGCCCCTGTAGATTAAGTTCCCAAAGTTTTAGTCCTGTAGCTTTTGTAGGTCTTGAGATGAAAAACCGTGACAGACGCATACACAGGCACACACACACACACACACACAGACAACCCCTCGCCAATATGCGTTTTCTGCACTGCATAACTGTAAAAAATGCAGTGGAGGATGGCATCGGTGGAAAGAACTGTTAGGACAAATATACGGAGTTATGTGAATAAGAGATGCGCAAAATAAAGAATGAAGTTTGTGTCTGCCGCTATTTTACGGAATTTTACAAACAAAGATTCCGAAACATGCCCTGGCTCAAGTTATTTTTCGTTTACCAGTGAAATTGTTTTCAAAAAGTATTTCTGCCCAGCACTGTCAATGCTGAGCTGCTATAAAAACGAAAAAAGCGTGCACCAGGGTAGAAATTTTCTTAACTTTTTAGCTTTTAGCTTCTTCTTTTCTGCGTTAAAATTCTCCTGAAATTTCAGCTTCCTAGCTTTTCCGGCTCATGCACTGAAAGCCCAC